TTTTTACACTGTTAATGATTGTGCAGCACCTTGTGAATATATTTCTGTGAAAGGCGCTTTATAAATAAAACTTTACTTACTCACTTGCTATTTTTAGAAATTCTGAGTAAAAAAAAAAACAAGTGTAAAAGCAGCTGTCGGTGATCACAGAGACACGATGGCTGCTAAAACATGCCGTTTAACTATTTGCCATAAATTAATGATGAAAATGTTTGTTAGCAAAATATCTCATGAGCTACTGAAGCATTTGGAAAAACAAAAATGATAATAAATCCGTAATTTTTAGACATTTTGAGCTCAAATTTAGCACGGTTTCAGCTGAGGGTGATCCAAACAAACAGTGAACGCCAACTTAAAATTCAAGATGGCCGCCACAGCTAAGTGACCTTAACTCAGTGGGTTTTAGACCTGTTGAGCTATTTGGAAAGACACGTTTCTAGTCAGTTTTCACCATAACTAACACAAAGCATAAATAACTTTTTCCTAAAAGATTAATAAACACATTAATAACATTTATTATAAACACAAGATTTGAAACAAACTTAATTATAATGTCAATAATTACTTATTCTGAGCTCAAATTACACCTATTTTTCCATCCGTCTATCGTGAGTGAAGTCTAACGTGAAAAGAAAAGGAGTCAAATTTCACGTGCAGTCAGTTCATCACACCTGTTCTGGAAGCTGCAGCTCCGCCTCGTAAACATAACAAATAAAAACACTCAGCTCTGAAAACATGTTTACAAACATCAGAGATTTAAACACAGGAACTCAAACTGCAGAGGAGCCAGGTGCAGCAGCTACACGAGCGTCCTGAACAAGTTTAGAAAAATAATAATAATAATTACATAACCTGTTTACACTCTGCCAGGTCACAAGAAGCTGGGGGCAAATATATGTGGCCTCCTGGCAGACACGAGTTTTTTCAACACTAAAATACTTATTATAAAACATAAAATTAAATATGTCACAGGCTGCAGTTTGAACACGTTTATTCCAGTTTAACACAAAGTTAATTTTGAAATGCGGGTCTGCACTGAATGTAAACAAAATCTACTGGACAGTTGGCTGTAGTCTGTAGAGGTAAACAAATACGATCGCTGGTAAACAACACAAACGTTACTTAAATTTTGGATTTTACACAATAACCAAACATATTGCGCTGATTTTCTTTGTGTTTTTGTGTTTGGTTTTGACAATGAGTACCTTGAACCGTCCTGGGGTCAAAGGTAAAATGACCCCCTAAGGCCTGGACTCTGGGATCCTTCTGACTCCTGTGTCACAAATAATTTCTATACATTATAATAAGGCATGAAACTGTTCTTTAAAGTGATAAAGTTCATGTATAAATACAAAAAAAAAAAGTTTGAATAAGGAGCCAGTGTTGAAGTGTGCAGGGACAACAGCTGAGTGTCCAAACATAGCTGTAGTGTCAAAAGTGACAGGCCCGTCCAGGAAACGGTTCGACCCGCAGCTGTCACACCGGACCATTAAAGGTAAAACACACAGTTTAGTTTTAAAACCCTCCCGCCGACGTGTACCGGCGGTTCTTCTCTTAAAACAGCGTCCCTGCAAAGCGCAGCCACGTTGCCCGCGCGGCGCTTCCGGAGCACGGCGCTGGATTTGTTCGGCTGGCGGCGGCAGGGCGCGCGCCACCCCGGGCACACACCGGCGAGTCGCCGCGGGGACGGATCGGGACGAGACGGAGCCGGACCCCCGCGTCGGAACAACCTAATCCGAACGAACACAGTCAGACGTGACATTTACCTTCATTCGTGGGCGGTAGATGAGGTTTTACGGAGGGAACTGGCGGAGACATGCAGCCGCGGCTGTTGAACCCGTTTAGACCCTGAACGTGTCGGAAACAGAAAAACAAGAAGGAGCTACAACAAATGCTGCTTCCGCTCGTCCCCGACGCACCAGAGCGCGCATGTCCCCATCTACGTGTTTCTCGATATTTTCCTAGTCACCAAAAACTGAACGTTTAGCTATTTTTAACGGGAAACACCGATTCTGGCTGACATCAATCAAATGTTTAAAACCCAAACAGTTTTTTTTAAGCATAACCTTTATTTTCTGGCCGAATTATTATTATTATTAT